CACCACCACAGTGCTTGAGGACACCCACCCCTCTGCCAACCTGAGAGAAAGCAAGCAGGAGAGGAGAAAAAAAGCCATGTTCCTGGCTCAAGAAAAAGTGGTGGAGAGGAGGAAGCTGTCAATCAGCCAGCATGTAAGTGTTTGTGTGGTTTATGTTTTTGCAACTTGTTTATTATTTGTCTGTCTGAGATGATTGCTATTGCTTTTTGAGGTCTAAAACTTTCAGTAAACTGTATTGAGGATGATCCAATGTTGGTGTGTATTGCCACATAGCTAGGCAGTTGTTTAGCTTATGGTTGGCTGTGGAAGTTGTTAGAAAGATGATGGGGATTCTCAAGCAATTACTGCAAAAATTGCTACTGAATGTGAATTTCAGTTATCTTTATTGATTTTTTCACTGAGTTTCCCATTTTTCATACAGTTGGTTTTACAGATGACATGATAAATATTTTCTGTGACAAGAGACTAACTTCTTTTGCTCTTTTTTTAAGGTGGATATTCATTGTTTTGCAAATATAATTTTTTTGGTGTGGTCAGTCTAGGATCCAATATCCTCTATGTATTTTTTTTCCTGCATGAGTGATTTATTGGTATTAGTTCAAGGCCAAATGATGTAAAAAAAAAAAAAAAAAAAAAAAAAAAACATTGATTACAAGTTGTATGCCTTGATATCGCTTGTTACTTCACAATTTATATACTTTTCCTTTATTTAGATGTTGGGAAGCAATTATCAAGGAAAAAGGACAAAATGATAGTGGCACCTGCCTTAGGCTTGAAATTAAGCTAAGACATTTTTTTTGTTATCTTTTTTGAAGAGTAAGTTGAGACTGAATATACCATTTAATATTAACCCATTCATGCTGATATATTTTGAAACCAAAAATAAAATATTCAGGGCGGCTACAAAATCTGCGGGCGGAGCTTCCCCGGAGTCTGTCTGCCCGCCAGCCGCGGCCCGCTGCTGGGTTGGAGTGCGAGCCCGATACAGTGTCACACTGGTGGGACGCCCAGCAATGTTTATTTTTTCGGGTGTCTCATATATGAGACACCTGTTGCTAATGGGTTAAGTATGGCCTTCATCTGTACCTACATTTTTTTTTTTTTTTTTGCAGGCCCACAACTGCCCCCTGAGATCGCTGCCCAGATCCTTAACTCGGCGTCTCAGTCCCCGCGGTCTTCCGTTACTAGCCCCAGGAGGTCAACACCCTCCAGGTCACGCTCTCACTCTGTCAGCCCTGGCCCAGGGATCCCCATGCCCCCCAGGGAAGCTCCAGCACCCCCTCCCCCACCTCCACCCACCCTATCTCCTGTACAGTCTGGACACACTGACATGTTTGATCCTTTCACTTACAAGGCTGGAACGGCAGAGGCATCCTCGGCGCTAACATATAAAAATGATAGGTAAGGAAAAGTGGTTTTGTGTTTTCCTGTTTGAGTTCATTGTACTCACAGTGGATGGGCAAATGATCAGTTTCAAAATATTTCTGTATGTTAAGATAAAGAGATGAAATTATTTCACATGTTAGGCACATAATAGTGTGAAAATTGTCGAGATAAGAAATTGATGATTATAAATGTACTTCTCACTTCAAAGAGAAAAAAATAAAGGTCTGTTTAGAAGATTCTAAAACCTTAACATCAGTATATAAAATGGTATAATATTCTGCTCTTCTTTTTCAGAACATCTGCTTTGGAGTCATGTATAGCTTCTGGCACAGATTACATAGATACTAGCAAGTCAACTGGGCTACAGGAATCTTCTGTTCTGTCGGGTATGTACCCCTGTGATATACTTACATTGCCTTCTCCTCAGGCCTCTGGTGTGCGTCTAGGGTAACTTAATACTCGGCAAGAAAGGAGCAAGAAATTTTCCTGAACAGTAGTGAAAAGTAGTTTCAGGACAAAACAAAAAGTTAATTTATGTTCAGGAATATTTTTTCGCTCTGAATATCAATTTCAGTATGATCTTGCTGAAGAACATTTTCAAAATTTTAAGGATTTAGATATTTTGAATTTTTTACAGCTTGGCTGCAGCAAAAGACCCCACAAAAGTTAATTCACTTATTTATACAAACTTCAAGACCATTTCTCATTTGTTAGCAGTGGTATGCCAAAGAGAAATTTGCTGCAGGCAAGCATTTCATGGGGCAAGTTTGCCCTCCTGTACTGCAGTTATCTATGGTCTTTTGACTTGTTGCAGATGTGTTGCAGTGGCTCTCTGCTGTTGATATTTCATCGAGGGCAGCCGTGCAGGTGTAGGTACGAATCGCCAACGAAGAACTACTTTTATTCTTCCTGTGGCTAGTGCAGTGGCTGTCCATGCCTAGTGCTCTAGTTACTGACAGGATTAGCCTCATTTTATAACAAGCCTTGTTTTTATTGCGGATCTTTTTTGCGAGGTGTCTTATGAATTTTTAAGTGAGCCTCCCCTCTTATTTACACGTGCCATGGAATGAAAAGTAGCTTGGCGACACATTGCCTAGCAGGGAGACAAAGACTTCGGGATTATTGGGCATGGTGATAGTGACCAATTTATAGAAGGGGGATTATTGTGTATAGTGACAACCTCCCATTCTCCCGTTTCTACCCATCTCTTCCCTTTATCATGTCAGTGTTCAGGTTCCTTGGGGTCGCCACCGTGTGATGTCTGCTGGCCGGGTAAGTGCAGGTAAGTAATCTCCTAGTCAGATAGAGCGCGTGTCAGCTATTAAGAAAATGGAGGACAGGAACTTTGATTTCTCAAAAGACCAAAAATATTACAAATTTTTTTACGTAGATATTGGTACTCCAGGTTGGTGTTCGGTAAAGACTTTTCTCTTTCCTTTTTTTTTTGTTTTAATCTTAGTTTTTATATGTTTTATTTTGGGTTTATATGATGGTCCTGTAATATAAAGAAAATTCTGTTATTGGTCTCTTGAGAATGTGTCAGAAATGTGTATGATTGTATTGTCAAGTCTCTAACAGTTTTATATGATTTTTGCTTCTTGAAGACTATGATTATCAGTGTCTAGTGTATGCAAGCAGTATGGGAAGTTGGATACTTGCAAGAGCAGTGGTGTGAGAGAAATGCCTTTTTTTTAAATATACTTTTATTTTATTGTAATAGATGATGTTAAACAAATGCTCATGCAGTTGTCTGTTCACAGGAGCAAGTGAGGAGGGTCGTAGAAGCCAAAGTATAGAGATGAGGAGAAGCAAATCCCGGCAAGTAGAGGCATCTCACCGGGAGAAGTAAGTGATTTTATATTATTATTATTTACAATAAAGTGTGACCACTAAAAGCCTAAATGTATACAGACCAAAGATTTGCTGTTGATGAATTCTTTTCCTATCTGAAGGATGTATATGATTTGCTGACAATTATCTCCATAAAAAGAGAAAAGTGGTGCTAATGCATGTATTTATTTTATTAGTATGAAAGAGATTTTGCTGACTGTTTTTGCTTCCTCCTCAGAACAAGGAGTCGCAAGAAGCAGCGCCGTGGAAGATCTGAGAGTCGTTCCCCAAGCAGCCGGCGGGATCGCAAGAAACGCAAAAGATCGAGATCACGGTCTCGCCGACATAAGAAGCGACGATCACGTTCAAGATCACACTCCAAAACTCATAGGTGAGTTTAAGGGGACCTTCCCCTTAGAAGGGGTCTTTAGCATTAATCCTATTGATAAACTAATTTGGAATGTAATGTGCGTAAATAGTGACTGGAAAAGTGCCATCTCCAGAGAGGGACGCCATTTCCATGCTGCGCACCGTATTCCTGGCCGTTGTGACTGGCGGTGCTGGTTGTATTACATGAATTAAAAATTGAGAAAAAATGAGATTTGACAAATAACCAAATGTTCCATATTTTTTTCCCCTTGCACTGAGTTATTTACTACAAAGAGAGATGATATGGAGTCTGTGCAAGGAAAATTAGGTATTATCATCTGAATAAAGCAAATCAAAAGACAAATATGGATATTGGGAAATGGCAGTAAAGCTCTAAAAGTTTACACAAAGTAACTTTGCAAAGGGGAGGCACAGTCTTTTCACCGCTTATGGGTGTTAGTGCATGTCCGGCTGACGCGCCAATGCATGATGAATGGTAAAGTTGCTTTATGCACCAAAGATGCTTACAATTTCAAGCGTGATGAATCAAATCCATACAGAATATATTAATTTGAACACCAATCATTGGTTTACATGATTTGAAGCTTGATTTGAAATTGCTGGGTTAATATTGAAGAAACTCGTGTCCCATTCTTGAAATTTTATTCAACAAATTGTGGATTTGCTTTCAATTATTAATATCATTATTTTCATAAAATGATATACAATAGACATGACCTGACCCATAGTGTGGCATAGATGCTGGCAAGTGACCAAGTAGAGCCTATAGGGTAGTGGCTCCCAACTAGTGGGTTACAGAGGATTAGGAGGGGGTCATGAATTCTGGGTGAGAAACTGTATGAGGCTAATTTCATAGGCCTTTGTCAGTATGCAGCTTTAAGAATATGCTATGAAATCTTGTCTTCATGAAGCATTTCAACACATTAGGGAAAATAAATTTTGTAGTTGATTTTAGAGGACTTTAGATGTGTGAAAGGTTTGAGAATAAGGTTGAGTTTGTATGTTGGGAACCACTGCTGTAAGGTGGTCATGGATGTAACACACATGATACTAGCACATTATTTTAGTAACATAAATAAATAGCATAGAATGAAAAGTCTCTTGACAAGTCTATAGGCTTATTGATATTATTTAAAAAGCTGGATACTTGAGACAACCTCACCAACAAATACAGTTTTCTGATGAAAAGGTAAGCATAAAATAGGTTTATTAAGGGTTATTATTACAATTAACACAGTCATAACTCTAATTATTTTCTTCAGCCGGTCTTCCCACAAGAAGAAGCGCAGAAAGCACAGCTCACGCCATGAGAGAGATAGAGGAGAGAGGCGAAGCAAGAAGTCAAGAAGACGTAGTATATCCTCATCATCTTCCTATTCGTCTGAACGTTCTTACTCCTCATCCAGGTCTTCATCAGAGTCTGAGGATGAGGTTCAAGTCATGTAAGTGGTTTGCTTTGTGTGAGGTAAAGGTATGGAGTGTGGCATGATGATTGTGTGTGTGTGTGGTGGAAAGGGTATTGTGTGCAAGCACTCTACCTCCCTCCATCCTTTCTTCTTTCTACCTCCTTCCCTTCCTCCTTTCTTTCTACTCCTCCCTTCCTACTTTCTACCTCCTTCCCTTCCTCCTTTCTACTTTCTACCTCCTTCCCTTCCTCCTTTCTACTTTCTACCTCCTTCCCTTCCTCCTTTCTACTTTCTACCTCCTTCCCTTCCTCTTTCTACTTTCTACCTCCTTTCTCCCTTTCTCCCTCTTTCCCTCCCTCCTTTCTCCCTCTCTCACTCCCTTCCTCCTTTCTCCCTCTGTCCCTTCCTCTTTGCTCCCTCTGTCCCTTCCTCCTTTCTCCCTCTGTCCCTTCCTCTTTGCTCCCTCTGTCCCTTCCTCTTTGCTCCCTCTGTCCCTTCCTCTTTTCTCCCTCTGTCCCTTCCTCCTTTCTCCCTCTGTCCCTTCCTCTTTTCTCCCTCTGTCCCTTCCTCTTTTCTCCCTCTGTCCCTTCCTCTTTTCTCCCTCTGTCCCTTCCTTCTTTCTCCCTCTGTCCCTTCCTACTTCCTCCCTCTCTCCCTTCCACCTTTCTCCCTCTCTACCTTCCTTTCCCCCTCCCTCCCTTCCTCCTTTCTCCCACCTTCCTTTCCTCTTTTCTCCCTCTCTCCCTTCCTCTTTTCTCCCTCTCTCCCTTCCTTCTTTCTTCCTCTCTCCCTTCCTTCCTTTCTCCCTCTCTCCCCTCTCCCTTTCCCCCTACCCCCTCTCTCCCCTTTCCTCCTCCCCCTACTCTCCTCTCTTCTCTCCCTTCTCCTGTCCTCTCCTCTCCCTTTCTCCTTTCTCTGCCCTCTCTCTTTCTCTCCCTTCTCTCTCTTTCTCTGCCCTCCCTCTCTTTCTGGCCACTCTCTGTCTCTGTCCTTACTCTGCTCTGCCTCCACCCCTTCAATGAGAGTGCTTTTGATTGCTTGCGTGTTATTTTTTATGAATTAAATTTATTCTTTCAAAAGTTAATGCTGACAGAAAGCAAGATGGTGATAGTTTTTTTTATGTATATATTCCAGTGATTCCCCAGCACATAGCAAGAGAGGGTCACGTGCCTCAAGTGAGGTCAGTGTAGGAGCTTCTGAACTGTCCCTTGTTGGGTAAGTTTGTCTCTTCAAAAGTTGTTTCATTTGTTGTTTTAAAGAATAATATCTAATGTTACTTTATATTATCACAATTTTGTGAGATTTTTGTAAATAATGGAAGTGATGTCCAAAACAATTACTAGTGATTATCAAAATAAAGCTAAAGGCATCACTTATAGTAAAAGATCAAATATAATGCCTGCATGCATTCACATACACTTAGTGCATACTTCATATGATCTTGATGCATATGTAGAGTTATTAATTATCAGTCTAGACAGTTGATGCTTACCCATAGATATGTTTGTATATTACAAAAGGGTGAATAAGGCTGAAGTACAGAGAGGAGATTTCCATTTTTTATTTTAATCTTTCATATCAGCCCTATGACAAGAATACCTGAAGAGAGTATGTCTGGCCCCTCAACCCCACTACCACCGCTGCATTCTTCAACTCTGCGTCTAACGTCTGCTGCTGATGATAAAATGGCGACTGTAGAGGAGGAAGCTATGATAGAGGCAACTGGAAATGGGAGTGCAGCAAGTAGTGGAGAAGGAGAGATGAAAGAGGAAAAGAAAGAGGAGAAGAAGCCATTGTTTAATCCCCAGAGTAGTGCTGCCATGGCAAAAATTGCAATGGTTAGTATTTCCTTTTTTATCTGAGAAATTTGGCTTTGGCAATTAACATATTTCAGAAATATAACTCATTGTCTTTGTAAATAGTAATTTTTGTATATATATAAATTACAATGACTTAGAATTTATATTAATGATAATAAACCAGTATCTTTGTCTCTGGTAGTGAACTCCAGTGAACTGTGTACACAATTCACTAGAGTTGCCCAAGGCATATTATTTTCTTTTGTCTGATCTCATTCTTACATAATTCTGACTTCTATTGCAGGGATTACGAGCGAAAGTTCATGCACTGCTCGAAAAGGAGAGCAAACTATGAAGAAATGCAAATGAAAGAAGAGATAAAAAACAATCAATATTTTTGTCCATGGGAATTGTGATATGTGATTTTGATCTTTTGAAATGTGTATTTCATTTGGCCTGATACTGTTATTGTCTAGATTATATGCTTTGCAAAAAAAAGGGTTCAAACCTTATGTGGAACATTTTGGATATTGAAACATTTGGAATGACAAAGAATTGTTGTGGATCTGTAAACTTCGGTAGACAATATGTCAATACTTTCTATTGTAGTAGGTTTTTGTAAGTAATTTGTGTGAGTATTCAAGTCTTTCACTTATTTCTGCAGTGGAATTAATGTTTATATTTAATAATACTTTGTTTTATTTACCTTTTAAACTGTTGGTATGTACAGCGAAAGTTAGTTAAAATGTAGCAAAATGTATTCTTCAAACTTCAAATAGTTTCCTATGCCAGCAAGTAGAATAACAGCTGAGTATGAATAAATAAATCTTAGTTATCCTTAAACGTGACACTGGTTGTGGTATATTCCTGCAAAGACTGGCCAAGTAACTGATGACAGCATAGATCCCTCCCAGATTATGAAAAAGAACAATGTACTAGTTACCATGAAACAATATGCATATAAAAAGGTGGAAATCAAGAAAATAAAAACAATAAGATTGGATGATATTGATAATTCTAAGCAAAAAAGGTGCATAAGAAGGTAAAAAATTATAGGTATATGAAAAATTGCTTGCATGTTATCGTTGGGGTGGGGCGGCGGCTTAGGAGGCATGGAAAGGGATCCAATACTGGGGACCTCCCCAGCCCTCAGCCCCCTCCTGCTTTTTCGTTTTTGTTTTACTCCCCCCCCCCCCCAATCCCTTGCCCGTTGTTGTTGTGGGGGGGCTTAGGAGACGAAGACTGAGACCCAATACAGGGATCTCCCCTGCCTAGGGCCTCAGCCCTCGACTCAACTAATTTTGCATGGTCTTTTCCCTTTCCAGCTTTTGTTTCCGTCTCTTCTCCATCCCCTTCTACTATCTACTTCCTAAGGTGTGAGACCCGTGCTGAGAGGATGAAAGGCTGACCTAGTGCCAGTCCTGAATGGCCTGCGGGAACTATGGGCACGGTACTCCTGACTAATCTAGCCCTTACCTTCAGTAGCGAAAGGAGGTGGACCGTTTAGGCCTTTTTATATAATCCAGGTTCCCCATGACCAGTAATGAAAATGTAATCCTTTTATTAGAGGCTATGAGGCTAGCCCCTTTATCAAATAGCCCCAACCCAGGCTCTCCTTTGACCACGGCTCCGAACACAAACTACTACCCACTCCTCAATGCCTACTAGTGCATTACCCACCCAAGCAGAGAATCAATCTCCAGAAGACATTCCTACCCACCCAACTTCCTCAAATTCAACTCTACCCCTGCAACCTTCATCAAACAACCAATCCTCCCTTATTACTACCTTGCAACCTTATTCTCCATCATTCCGTAATACTCCCTCTTCCACACGTCCCCGACCATCCACCACCACCAACCCTACAGATATCTTGAATACTCTGTTTAGCCCAGCTAAATGGGACCGATTTTTCGTGATCCCTGCTACAGCTCCTTACTCAGGCAACACTCTTCTCTTTCAACAATGCCTCCAAAAACAAGTAGACAGAGTCCCTTTCTATACCAGACGCGATTGCTCCCGTCTGGTAACAGTCAGATCAGAAACTGAATCTATAGCACTATCAAATTTAACTGATCATTCTGGCAACCCCATTCCTGCAGAACCTCATCCAACCCTTAATGCCTGTACCGGAACTGTCTCTCCCCCAGCAAACTACCCAGTCGATACCAAAGATTGGTCAGACTGTGGAGGAGACTTATTAGGATGCCTCAAAGACCAAGATGTGAAATCAGTACATTGCTATACCATTCCTCCTAAAGGTCAACAAAAAGAATCCGACCAATATTGCCAAAATTACCTTCCATACACATGACCTTCCCTTACCTATCTACATTGGTGGACAATCCCTCCCTGTTCGACCATACCAACCCCCTCCCCGTCAACGTCAAAACTGTTGGCGCTTTGGACATCCTGCCACACATTGCCGTTCCACAGACCGATGCCCCATATGTGCCCAACCTGGTCATAATCGATCAAACTGCTCAGCACAAACACGAACATGTGCTAACTGCAGCTGCCCCCATAATGTATTTTATAGAGGCTGTCCCACTTACAAGTTTGAATCTGAGGTAGCAACTCTCAGATACAAAAATGGTCTCACTTTACGTGAAGCCAGACAGGAAGCACGTCGACAAGGTTTTTATCATACTCTATATTCTAGTAACATCGTTCGCTCAGCCCCTCCCCCTCCACCCCAAAATGTCCCCATTTCCACTTCTACATTTTACATCCCTCAGACCAATTCCTTTGCCACTCTAAACCCAGACACCCCAATCTCAACCACAGCTCCTATCTCAACCACAGCCCCAACACCAACCCCTCTCCCTCCCCGCACTACCCGCAGTAGACAGACTAAACGTTCTAACCCTTCTTCCCCTACAGCACAATCACCTCCACCTACCTATACCTTTGTTCCTGAGACACCAGTCTTCACTCCCCCCCCCTCATAAGAAAACCTTTATCCCACAAAACTCTCCAACTAATTCCATTGCAGAAACAATTACCTTCTCACAAAACTCTCCAACCAACTCCACTGCAGAAACAATGGATGACATTCAAAGCTATATGCTTGAGACACAAGATCCCATAACTCATGCTCCTTCCACACTTGAAGTGGCTCCTCAATTCCGTCCACCTCCGATATCCATCCTCCCAATACCCATCCTCCTGATATGCATCCCCCTCTTACTCACAGCACCCCTACACCCCTTCCTCCTAATCCCTCCCAAGACAACACACCCCTTTCAACTCCAACTATCCATCCTTCCGATATTCATCCTCCTAACACTAATACTCCCCCCACATCTACTCCCTCCCAACACAACCCACCCCCTTCAACCCCAACTATAGGCACATTCTCCCTCCCTCCCTCCCCTCTGTCCTTTGCACTCCCTCCCGGATACACACGAGAATCACTCATGACACAACAATGCCCTTCTCCAGATTCCCTATCTCCTAATATCCCTCCTTTACACCCCCTAGCTCCTTCCCCTTCAAATTCCCCAACACGTCTTGCGTTATCATTCGTAAATCAACTAGGATATAGCTCTCCTACATTGGAATATTCGCGGTTTCCGCTCTCATAGATCAGACCTACGTTATATCCTTGCTTCTTATAATCCATCTATTATCTGCCTCCAAGAGACTTTCCTCACACACCCTCCTATTCCAATTCCCAATTACCATTTTATCTGTTCCCCACACTCCCTTTATGTCTCGTCTATACTTATCCATCATAAAACACCTTATGTCATACCTCCCATACAAACTTCTGTCCCGTGCACAGCTATTCGCATCTTTCTTCACCGCTGGATCACAGTGATTTCAGTCTACTTCTCCCCATCCCATCCCATTGACTTTACTGCCTTTGAGACTAATTTCCCAACTCCAACCACCTTTCCTCGTAGTTGGTGATTTCAACTGCCGCCACACTCTGTGGGGTGACTCTACCACCAACTCCCGAGGCCGATTTCTAGAACGCTTCCTCTTCACAAATAACCTAATTATTCTTAATTCAGATCGCCCCACACACTTTGACATGCGCACACAATCCTTTTCATGCCTTGACCTCTCTCTATGCTCTCCTACTTTACATTTAGATTTCCATTGGTCAGTTCTAGACCACTTCCCTATAGTGACCACTTCCCAATACTCCTTTCTCCTACTTCATATGTACCACTTCCTAATCACCCACGCTGGTGCTTTGATAGAGCTGACTGGCATACTTTCACTTCACTCTCTACTATACCTATCCCTCCACCCCCCTTACCGTCCATTTCAGATATGCTACATTGTTTTACAACCACGATCCTAAGAGCTGCCTATACAGCCATTCCTCGAACTTCAAGACCTTATACCACTAAATGTGTTCCATGGTGGAATTCTGATTGCACCAAAGCGCTTCGCTTAAAACGAGCAGCTTGGAACAGCTATCGCTACAAACGAGGCACCCCTCACCAGCTATCAGCCCTTATTTCCTTTAAAAGAGCATCTGCCCATCTTCGTCGTACAATTAAAAACAGCAAAAACAAATAGCTGGCAAAATTATGTTTCCTCAATTACATCTACATCTATTTCAGTTGTTTGGCGACGGATCCATAAATTATCAGGCAAACATCCCCCCCATCCTGCACATTCGAGATATTCTCATCTCTGAGCCTGTCGAAGTAGCTAATGAACTGGGCAACTATTTCAGCCAGGTCAGTAGTGGCTCTCACCTTTCCCCACACTTTTCTTCCATTAAAGCCACCAAGGAACACACCCCTATTACCTTCACCCTATCCTCTGATGAGTCCTATAATGCTCCTTTTTCTTTTTCTGAACTCAACGCTGCATTACAGTCGTGCCGCAACACTCATGAAGGCCCTGATGGTATTCACTATCGTATGCTCCGACACCTCCCATCTTCCTCTCTATCCTTCCTTTTAACTATTTTCAACCACATATGGACGTCAGGAAATTTTCCTTCTCATTGGCGAGATGCTCTTATCCTACCTTTCTTAAAACCCAATAAATCATAGCTATAACTAGCTGCTTGTGCAAACTACTAGAACGAATGGTTAACTTCCGTTTAATGTGGTACCTTGAATCTCATAATCTTTCCCCTTCCCAGTTTGGTTTTCGACGTGCCCGAAGTACAGCAGACCCACTTGCCCTTTTCGAGACATACATTACATCGGCATTTGCACGCCATGAATCCGTATTAGCCATATTCTTTGATCTAGAAAAAGCATATGACACCACATGGCGATACCATATCCTCCAAAAATTGTCCTCCCTAGGTTTACGTGGAAACATGGGGTTTTCATTAAATCCTTCCTTTCTAAACGCACTTTCCAGGTCAAGATTGCCTCTTCCACGTCATCATCCTTTTCTCAATTCGAAGGCGTCCCACAGGGAAGTGTGCTTAGTACCACTTTATTCCTTCTTGCTGTAAATGACATAGTCTCAGTCCTACCACCAGGAGCCCGAGCATCACTATATGTTGATGACTTAACCATCTATGCATCTGGCACATCCATACCAGATCTCTGTCAATTCCTTCAGTCTGCAATAACATCAGTAACTTCTTGGGCCACCAACCATGGCTTTCGCTTCTCTACCTCTAAATCTTTCCCCATCCTTTTCTCTTGCTCACGTACGGTCCCCAAACCCCCACTCTTCTTATACTACGCTCCACTCCAATACC